CAAGGTCTGACCAGCAAACTGACCACTGAACCTTGGACAAGATGAAGGATGAGACGTCACAGAAGGGTGCCCCCTGCAGGAAGGATGGACGCCCCCCCCCACAGAACAACAATCAGAAACATAATTGTCTTTATATCGTGAATCGTTTCACCGTCAACGAACAGATACGATTCACTGAACCGTCTCAGTCACCTGGTGCCACGTCCTACCAGGTGAGCACGGACTAGTACGATAACCATGGGCAGTAATCCTGTCATCAGCAGCAGCAGTAACAGCAGTAGCAGCAGTAACAGCAGCAGCAGCAACAGCAACAGCAGCAGTAGCAGCAGTAACAGCAGCAACAGCAGGAACAGCAGCAGCAGTAACATTAACAGCAGCAGTAACAGGAGCAGTAACAGCAGCAGCAACAGCAGTAGCAGCAGCAGTAACAGCAGTAGCAGCAGTAACAGTAACAGCAGCAGTAACAACAGCAGTAACAGCAGTAACAGTAACAGTAACAGCAGCAGTAACAGTAGCAGCAGCAGCAGCAGCAGCAGTAGCAGCAACAGCAGAAACAGCAGCAGCAGTAACAGCAGTAGCAGCAGTAACAGCAGCAGCAGCAACAGCAGCAGGAACAGCAGGAACAGCAGCAGCAGGAACAGCAGGAACAGCAGCAGCAGCAGCAGCAACAGCAACAGCAGCAGTAGCAGCAGTAACAGTAACAGCAACAGCAGCAGCAACAGTAACAGCAACAGCAGCAGTAGCAGCAGTAACAGTAACAGGAACAGCAGCAGTAACAGCAGCAGTAACAGGTTGCTAATGTGCTGTGTGCTGAGGTCAGCAGCAGATGGCACTGCTGCTACACACACACACACACACACTGTGTAAATACACACACACATCCCTCTTCTTTGGTCATACTCTGTGGTTAATAACCCTGTAGTCTGTGTGGCTCAACATAAGGCCCGTCTTCTAAGGCGACGTTCATGTAGAATCAGACTGAACATCAAACACAGAACAAACATCAAAGGTCAGACCGTCACGTCTGTCAACATCTCCATGTTGTAAATGTAGTGAAAACAGGAAGTGCAACCATGCATTTACCCCACCTGTCCCCCCCCACACACAGAAAAAGCCTCTTGCAGTGACTGCAGGTGTACAGCGGGGGCTCCACCTCCAACAGTTTCAGTTGTATTTATAGTCAACATTTGTTTGGCAGTTGAAACGTTTAGAAGGCAACAAAGGACGTCAACT